TGAAAAAAAGGCATTTAAGTGGTTTTGAAACCTGCTAAAGGTGACAATTCGAATAGACAACTTAGTTTTGGATTTGGACGTACAAAGTGTCAGGTTTTAATTCTTTTGATAATAGATTTTTGACTTTTCTTCTAGATTCTAGTTTTCATTGACACATTGCTAATACTATTTATTTTTCTTTTTAGATTTTGACTTAGAGGGATATCAGGGCTGGTATAATAGGAGTATTAGTCTCTATTTTTTTTCTTTTTTCAGGTCTTTAACTAATTTTAGTTTTGAAAATTTACTGAAGATAACAATTTGAATAGGCAATATAATCTTAAACCTTACTGCAATAAATGTGGCATAGATGCAGTTAATGATGAAAAAAGGCATTTGAGTTGTTTTGAAACCTGCTGAAGGCAACAATTCGAAGGGCAACATAATCTCAGACCTTACTGCAATAAATGTGACATAAGTGCAGTTAATGATGAAAAAAAAGACATTTGAGTGGTTTTGAAACCTGAAGGTGATATAAATGGCTGGTGAGTATTTGATGGGTTAGGGTTATTTTATAGTCTTCTTTTATAAATTTCCCAATTATTACAATTTAACATTTCCTTTTAGCTCATAATAAGCTATTGCTTAATTTTGAAAATTGTGTGTACACAAAGTTCTATATTCAATTTTTTGTTTTTTTCTATTGTGTAGTAGAATGCAAAGAGCATTTATCAACTAATATATTTGCATTATACAATATTTTGTCAATTTAGCAGGTAAAAATTGAGTATTTTGAATAAGCTATTCAAGTTGTTAAAGTAGTGAATTTCTATATATTAAATAGTTCAGCATATTTTTTTTTATTAATGTAATTTTGATCGAGATATGATAATTTATTATATTTAATAAAAAATAATATATTAATATTTTTTCATATTTTTAAATTTTACTAGTATAGTAGTATCGCATTAGTAAACTTGAAAATAAATAAATACATGTTAATAATTGCATGTATCAAATTTAGTGGATACCTCTATAGATGCTTGACGAGATTATTTTTGAATTGACGAATAGTTTTGTCATTTTGTGATTATGCCAAAAAATTTCATAGAAATTTTTCTATACTTTTTAAAATAATATTCTAATTCGAAATTAATTTTGTTACTAATAATTAGATCAAAATAATTTCGTCAGGTTTACTAATAAAATCAATTTTGTCAAGCATCACTAATAACCTCTATAGTGATCACTATATATTGTCACTATGCATGATAGTGATTATTATGCATGTTCGATATGTATGATATTATAAATAATTATTATACGTAATTATCATAAGCAAAATTGCTATATGTAATCATCATGAGTGATCATTATACACAAAAGTTATACGTAAGTGATTATTATTCACAGTTGTTATGCATGATCATTATGCAAAATTTTTATTATGTAATTAATAGTAAATGAACAAATATAAAATGATTAACAAATAAAATTACACCCTTAAATACAATATTTGCATTTCTTTTGAATAAACAAGTTAAATTCATATAAATAAATTTTTTGATCAAAAACCTGTTATCCTACTTCAAACAATAGCTTCTTATTCTGCTAATACAAGCATACAAATTTTAACTGATGGAAGTCTAGTGTGGTATTTCTTTGAGCCACCCGTTATAAAAGATGCTAAAAGAAAAGCCAAATGCCAATTGTGTATTGAAAAAGAAACATACCTCATCCTAAATAAAGGTTCCACTACTAGTCTACATAGTCATATTACTAATGCTCATCATATCAATATTGCAGAGGCTATTAGTTCTAAGAACTTTCCAGTTGTTTCTCAGTCTAGTAAAAATGTTCTTAGACAAGCATTAATTAAGTGGATTACAATGGATAGCCTTCCTTTTATCACCGTTGAATCAGAAAGTTTTTGGAAGTTAGCTGATATAATTAGAAAGTTAGATGATAATATCACAATTCACTCCACAAGGACAGTTAAGCGGGATTTGTTAGGCAAGTACTTAGAACTAAAGGCTACTCTAAAAGACACACTAATAAATAACACAAGCAAGATTTCTTTAACTACCGATATGTGAACAAGCAATTCTTGTAAAGCTTTTCTGGGTGTCACAGCGTATTGAATTAATGAAGATTGGGAGGTTAAGTCGCAAGTTCTCGATCTTGCACCTTTCGATGGAGTGCATACTGAAATCAACATGGCAAATACTTTATTTAGTATTTGTAATGATTTTGGTATAAATAATAAAATTTTGAGGATAACCGTCGATAATACTTCAAGTAATAATACATTACTTGAAGCATTTGAATTTTAGTGTAATAATAATGGTAGCTCATTTACTAAACAAGAAGGTCATATCCGTTGCATGGCTCATATAATTAACCTTGCTTTATAAGGTTTTTTAAACTATCTCCATTCAGAAGCACCAGACCGAGATGAAGATGAAATTCATATTTTGAACCAACCTACTATCTCCCAAACTCCAACTATCAAAAAACTTCAAAAACTTATTGCCAAACTTCGGGCATTACCTCAGCGCTGCCAAAGATTAAATGATTTATATTCATCTCTCCAAGTACAATTTAAAGCTCCAATTCTCGATTCTAAAACTCCATAGAATTCGATACTCAGCATGATTGAACGAGCCATTGACATGGCACTAGCAATTGATAGAATGATTGAAGAAATTCAAGAGTTAAATGAATTAGGTTAGTGTTATCAATTATTTAGTTGAATATTTTTTTTAAAAAACTAATTAACTAATTGATTAATCCATTTTCAATTTGTATTACTAAATTAGGTCTTTCGCCAAGAGATTGGGAAATGCTTGAAGAAATAACTTTACATTTAAAAGCTTTTTGCAATGTCTCTGAAGATTTGTGCAGCAAATCATATGTAATGATGCCTTTTGCTGTGCCAGCCTTTAACCTAATTATGGATGATCTTGAAGATTTGCAAGTGGCATGTTCATCTATAATTATTAATGAGGCTATTGATGTAGCTCTTAATAAATTAAAGACCTATTATGTCAAGTGTGAAAATCTAATATATGCGATAACAACTTTATTGGATCCAAGGATAAAAAAAAAATATTATGAAGTAGAAAAGTGGGATAAGAAATGGTTTAATTAGACAACTAGATATTTAAATAACGTATATAACAAATATAAGAACACTCGTATAGTTAGTAATATTTTTGGTAGCCGTCTTAGCTGTGTTTTTGAGAAACTTCATGAATCTTCAAATGAGATAAATGAAATTGATCTGTATTTAAACAGTTATAGGTTCAATAAATATATAACTGATACATAACAGGATTCTTTTATCATCCCAATATCTATCCTTTATGTATCTACTCTTAACCTGGTTTGCTACAGTTATTTGGCAGATCTATAGTAATATAAAAGATGAATACTGGTACAATATAAAAGATAAATATTAGATAAATAAAGAGTATCTATTAATATCCTGATATCGATATTTTTTATGATAATTATATATCTGTTTTGCTGCATATATTGGAAGTATAAAAGATAAATATCAGTAAATACAAAATAA